TGGTCCATATAGTAGATCACTTTGGGAGCTTGCACCCACTCTTCCCCAAGTGTGAGAACTTGAGCCTTTTTCAGTGTCTTGTTATGTGTGTGTTTTAACTCATGGGAATGAAAACTTTTAGACTGAGAAAAAAAGTGAGGGAAGAAATGAGACTCACGGTGAACTATTTAAAAACATGGAAAAGAATGGAAATGTATCTGGATGATTAAAACTGAAAGGCGGATGGAGAACAGGTTAGACAGGATTTGGGGGTTTCACTGAGAAGGAATATGAGGATGTTTAATGTGGATATGAATAGGAAGGATGTAGTTGAGAAGGACTGTAAACATCAGGAGTACTAGCTTACAGCTTAGGATTTCTTTGAAGTCAACTTAGGACTCAAAGCATAGGTAGAAGATTTAGATCTTACATATAAAGGGGAACAATTGTGCTGAGAAACACAATAGATTATGTTGTAGCTTTAGGGATTGATGGGGTGAAAACAGCTTGCCCAAGGAAATGAGAAAGTGGGGTATGGAAAAGAAGAGCTTATGCCTTGGGAAGGTGTAGATATACGTAGTTAGTATAACAAGTTGTGTGTTGTTATGCTGAGGGTCATCACACAAAGTTCACACTATTCTAAGCCCATCTCCCAACGGCTGCTCACCTGTGCCGTGAAGGTCGGATCTAGTCTCTAATAGAGGGTCAGGATCCTTGGGGAGACGCAAGAGCCGCAGCACAGATCAAGGTGATGTCTCTCCAGATGTGCAGAGCATTGCTCATGGTCTCTGCTTATACACTGTCAGGTGGGCATCCTGGGGCTCTAGGACTGTGTCTGGTTACCTTGAGTGACTAATGTCACTGAGTTCTGGTTATCAGATGCCGCCTTGGTTGTAGTTAGGATCCTGACTAAGCTTTTTTTTACATGTCTGAAAGACTTTGTTACTGTGCTCATTACAGAAAGAGAACAATGTTTTCATGCCACCCAACCCCTGAACACATCCCTTTTGATGATAACGCCTTACATACTGCTGAAGAGAAATGGTGACAATGAAAACACTGAGATATGAATTCCCGGGCTACTTATATTAGAATACTAAAGTACCCGTACTTTCCTGTTTCATTTAGAATTTGGTTTGGGGAATTTTCTGTGGTTTTGAAAAATGTTTGGAACCATTAGAATAAAGCACTAGAATATAGAAAATGAAATATTATTTTGCTTCCTATATTTTTATGTACTAGGATAGGTTTTCAGGATTAAGTAGTGGCAAAGTCAATAATTTTTTATATGTTAACATGTTCATTTACCTAAATAATTATTTAGCCCTTTGAAGTACTGTTAGGTACCGGTAGCCAGTCAAACACCTCTAATCCTGTGTCTTACACAGGACAGAGAAGTTGGTCAGTGATTCCAATATAGTTTAAGACCTTCAAAAATCCCAGGTAGAGAGGTGTAGGATGGATTTTTGATGAGGATTATGGTAGTCATTAAATTCTCACTGAGGTTTAAAGTACCAGAATACATTATGAGTTAACATACATGCTACAGAGTGTTAAGGTTGATGAAGGGAAACTCGAAACGAAAACAAAGGATGTGCAAAAGAAGGGGCTAAGGTGGTTTGAACAGCTCATGAAGGGCAGTGAAGCATAGACTTGAGGAAAATGAGGTGTGGAAGTGGGTGGGTAAAGAAAAGATTTCCAGTAGACAAGTCAATTTCTATATTTAATATCTCAAAAGCTGAAGAAAGCATAACATTTAGGAACTGAATGTGTCTCTTGTAACTTGAAAGTGAAAGTTCAGTTTGAAAAATTGGAATGTTCTGTATTATCAAAGAAAGCTTTAGTCAAAGTGGCTTCATAATATTTTAGTAAAAGGTAGAAAAGGTTACCAGGCTTACTACAAGAAAAGGTACTTTGCTTACAGATCCTAAAACAACAAGGCCATTATGAACTAAACTTAACAAGTAATGAACTTCATCTTCTAAAATGAAAAATTGAAAAGGAATTTTGAGCAGCTTTAGAAGTCACATTAAGATACTTGTATGTGGGTTCAGTGTTTAAGTGCATTTGTAGTTCTTGCTGAGGACCTGAGTTGAGATTCCAGGACTGGCATCAGGCATCGCATTAACCATATGTAACTCTAGTTCCTGAGAATCTAATGCTTTCTTGCCTCTGTAGGCATTAGTGGCACACACAGACATGCACATACATTTGGAAAAAAAACCTTTGAAAACAATATTTGTGTAGTTTTGATCCAAAAGGGAGTTTACAAATACTCCAGGCCTTTTTATGTAAAATTTTGTTTAGTTTTTTGTTTTTTGTTTTTTTGCAATTGAGGTGTGTGTCTGTGTATGTGTGTCTGTCTGTGCACGTGTACATGAGTGCAGGGTACAAGGATGATCGTAGGAGGAGTTCTGCTCTGTCACTCTGACTTAGTCCTTTGGAACAATGTCTTTTACTGATCCTGCCATAGACTGTCCGTCATAGCAGTCCTCCTGTCTTTGTCTCAGTGCTGGGGATATAGGCCTGTGTGACCATTGGATTTTTAAATCGGCGCTAGGGATTTGAACTCTGCTCCCCATCCCTTGATTGCTCAGCAAGCACTCTCACCTGCTGAACCATCTTTCCAGGCTCAGTTGACACAGTAATTCTTTACGAGGTAAAGTGAAATGATAGAATCATATACCTTGTATGGTTATTAACCCGTGTTTAGCATACCCATCACCTGATGCATTTATAATATCTTTGTGGTAAGAACATTCAAAATCCTTGGAGATATTTAGGTAATTTTGCTAACTATAGTCATTTTGTATGCTGAATCCAGAATTTTCTGGGGCCAGTCAGAAAAGTATAAATATAATTAAAAAAAAAAAAACAAAAAACTTATTTTGCTCTGTTCAAAACACTAAAGATAATTTTATTTACTGCTCATTAGTGTTTCTTAAAATTATGTTCTGAGAATGACAGATACTTGGGAGAAAGTACTGCTGTGGGTAAGCAAGTTAGGGAAATGATGGGCTAAACAAAATTAAAAACAGATTTATCTGGTTTCTCAGAAGCATTGCTGAAACTGCCCAGAAGAGTATATTGTACATAATTTGTAGTACATGTTTTTATTAAGGCCCTTTTTCTCCTAAAGGTACGCATTCTGCGCGCGCGCACACACACACACACACACACACACACACACACACACACACACACATATATTCTAGACTTTTTTTTTTTAACTACCAGTGTGACAATATGGCTGTGTTATCTTTACAACAGGAATGTCTTCTAGGGTAAGCTTTGTTTCTCATGTTGACTCCAGCTTAGAAGGATGTTTATTAGCCATCTGGCTTCAGAGTCTAATAAAATATAGAGGTGTATCTCAGTGGTAGCGTGCTTGCTGAGTATGTTCAAGGCCTTGAGTTCTAGGAAGGATAATATAAAAACAGTATAAAAGATAATCTGAGATACAATAAAAGGAATTTTCTCTTTACATACCTCCACAGTATGAATTAAGAAATTCATATTTAGATTGCCCAAATGGGTGAAATACTTTGAAACTTGGTCTCAAGGCCTCAAACACTTTCATACTTGGGCTTCAAGGCCCCATCTTACCAGTACAAATTATTGTGGTTCCTTTGTTTATGTGTTGTGCTCTATTGTTGTTTGCTATTAATGTTTAATCTACTAGAAACCTATTAAATACCAGTATAGTAATCTAATTTCATGTTATCACCAGTAACATGTAATACTTTTTCAAAGCAGTTTTGAGGCTTTTTATTTATCTTTTTGTGAATCTTTAATATCCAGCTTACTTACACCATTAGCCTTTTTGATTTTGTTGGGAAATCATAAGTTGTGTATATGGCTTTTGGAATTCACTACCATGCAATAAAGAAAATAGCAGTAAAAGAGAAGCTAAGTTTTACTATTAATCATAGTTTTTGCCTGAAGAATCATCATGGTTCTCTGCACATGTTTTAGGAGCACCTTACTAGAGTGATTAATTTTTACAGTGGAATATATTTGATAACTTTTTGATAGGTAAATGTGAAGTTGTACAATCATATGTATTTGTCCTAATTTAATTTTGGATTTTGAGACTATTTAAAGATGAAATAATAAAACAGATGGGCATTATGGCTTCAAATGCTGCTGAAACTTGTTTGAACAGAATTTTATTCCCCCCACCTTTTTTGAAAGGTTTTTTTTTTTTTTTTTTTTTTGATAAATTAAAAATTGAGTGTAGTGGGCCATGGTGGTATACACCTTTAATCCCAGCACTTGGGAGGCAAAGGCGTGTGATTTCTTATTTTGAGGTCAACATGGTCTACATAGTGAGTTCCAGAAAAGCTGGGGCTTTGTAGAGAAACCCTGTCTCCAAAAATAATAACAACAAATGTTAGCATACATGATGTATTAAAAATCCTTAAGCTTTGTATACTGAGAACCCAAAACACTAATTGTCTTTAATTTTTAATTATTTTAGAGATACAGTAGCAGTTACTAAACACTGATTTTGTGATTTTTTTTTTTTTTTTTTTTGTTGTTGTTGTTGCTGCTGCTTTTTAAGATTTTGGAAATTCAAATGAAACATACCCACATAGTGTTATATATTTTTCTTTCTTGTTTGGGCCGGGGTGGGAGGTATTCAGAGTTGCCACTCCAGGGTGGGCTCAGCTCTACCCACTGGGGGATCTGTACCTCCAGACTGCTGGGATTATAGGTGTTTACCACCAGATCCCAGGTATATAGAGTTATAGATAAAAACCCAAGCATCATGCGTCCTAGGCAAGCTCTGCCAACTGAACTAAATCCCCAGCCCCAAAACTGTATGTGTGTCATTGTTTAATAATTTATAGCATCTTTTTCTTTCTTGGTGTACTAAATGATACTGTGACTTAAGTGGTTTAATAAGATTTGGGGTGTTGACTGTTGTATACAGATCATAATTTTTAGACCTTTTACTTAACATATAGCAAATATTACTGAGACATAATCGGTGCCTGTGTCTGTTTTTGACAAAATAGGTCAAGTATTATAGACACCTTGCACCTGATCACTTGCTGCAAATCTGTCATCGACTAGGACCCCTTCTTGAGCAAGAAATCCCTCAGAGTGTGCCTGGAGTACAAACTTTATTAGGAGCTGGAAGACAGTCCTTGCTACGTACAAATAAAAGTATGAGCATTTTCTCTTAGAATTTGGACCTTTTTTTTCACTTTTTTTGCATTTTATTTTTGTGCTCATAAAGTGTATGTCTTACAGGCTGCAAGCATGTCGTGTGGAAAGGATCTGCACTGGCTGCACTACATTGTGGAAGGCCACCAGAGTCTCCAGTTAACTATGGTAGCCCACCTAGCATTGGTGAGTTTAATATGTTGAGATATAGTCTCTTGGTAGAGTTCTTGAAAATAAGGTTTTTAATTACTGTGCTATCAGACAGAGAACCTTATATCATGTACATATTATGTATATCAGCATTCAAAGATGAAAAACCTCAGATTTTCTTATATAATTTTGATACCAACAAATGTTAGCAAATTTTGATAGTGAAGTTAATAATGTACAACTGTAAATTGTAGGCATTTTATTTTTCCTAACATTTCCTTACTGAAAATTACATTATGCTGAGTTAATTGGTATCATAACTCGAGTTAGCTGTAATGTTAGTAAACAACTAGTTTGGTTTTCTTTTAATAGCACACCATATTTTTGTCCAAGGTTTCAAAGAGAACAAACTTAAAAATAAGATTTCCTCTTGTGTTGCTTTCTAGACACAGCCTAACGAACACCTCTCACTACTAAATTTTGTCTTGTGAACTAACAGAACATCCTCAGGACTAAACATCTTGTTTTGTCTATTGCCTTTCTCGTTTAGTGTGTTGTCTAACAATATGATGCTAATTTAAATGACTTTACCATTGCTCTTTCCAAAGTAATATAAAAAATCAGTCGTGGCATTTTAGAGATATTTATTTCTTCTACCATTGTGTCAACTCCTGGCTTTTAGAGGTCTTCATATATTAGTCCTAGCTTGTTTCCTCATGTACACTCTCCTGCCTAATGTCTCCTCCTGGAGCTGAAAATTTCTCATTATTTTAAAATAAAGTCGGCTTCATTCTTTGTTTTCTTTAGAACTTCAGTTAAGCAAATGCAGGACTTTTCTGATTTAGTCTGTTATTATTTTGTCTGTGATAATATTTTTTTTTTCTTTCTGTGATGCATACTGGGTCATTTCCTCTCACTTGTTTTCTCAAAACATCCTGATAGTTGTATTATGCATAGTCATAGTTGATTGTATTTTATTTATCTTTTATTGGTAAGCTATAACACTATTTTAATATTAATCTAAGTAATTCCATAAATTATGTATGGTGCTTTTTCCTATTCATCTGGTTTTTCCTCACTTTTCTCTGTCCTTTGTTGTTCCTTTCTTTCCTTCAGTTCATCATCCTCTATACTTAGTCCTCACTTGTTTTAAGCACATTTATTCCAACATACTTTCTTAGTAGCTGTAATTCATCTTCTTGTGCTTTTATTTGTCATAGTTTTAGAATAATAGTTTTACAGTTTGTGTTTAGTCATTTACACTTTTTGTTTTGTCATTTGTTTTATAACTTATTTTTCTTTTAAGTATATTTCTTATTTCCATTTGACACAATGTTAACTTTAAATTTTTTAAACTAATATCTAACTTTATCTAGGGACAGCCAGTATAAATAAATGTTAGTATAAAATGGCTTTGAGTTTTCAGTGGTGGTATCATTTACATTTCATAGCATCTCTATAAAATAGAGACCCCTTTTATCAAAGAAGAAACCAAGTCAGTGGAAAGGGGCATTGTCCCTCCAATGTCATTTTTTCCTCTTTTTTTCCCCCTCATAGATACCCAAGATGTGTTTGCATTATAGGAAAGTTCTATTGTTAAAATTTTCATTTTGAGTTATCGTTGACAAAACAAAGGGATAAGTTTTTTTTTTTTTTTTAAAAAAAACAATTTCCATAGGTAGTTTAGTGCTCTTAGAGTTGTTTTCTCTTTTTAAGTAAACAATTGATCAAATTTATTTTTAAGTTTTAGACATAATAAAAGATTCTCCCATCCCAAGATGTATCTGGCATGCAAGTTAATTGCTAGTTAGGATGTACTCACCATTTCTCCTTTCAGCTCCCAGCATGTATTTTCCTGTAGTGATTATTGAGTTTGATGTTTGGAATTTTATCTTTGTAAATGAAAAAGATTGTCATCTTTTAATATGGTTTTTGAATTTTTCAGTTTTTTCAAGGGTCCTTTGAATTTTATTTTGGGATATTTCCTGGGGAAATTTTTGGAAATTATGTATGAAGTTCATAGTCAGGCGGAATAGTAGTGATATTTAGCTCCTCAAATAAGACTCAGTGAAATACAATAATCTCCTACAGAATAACTTGCTTTTATAACATGTACTGCTTTGATTGCTTAGGGACAGCCAATATAAATAAATGTTGAGTTTTTAGAACAAGTGGTGTCATTTGCATTTCATAGTAGCTCTGTAAGAGACCCCTTTTATCAACAGAAAAACCAAACTGTAGAGTGGTAACAAATTCAGTGCGTTCTCTGATTGTTTTGTAGCTTCTGCATCTGGCTTCATGGGACTATTACTTAGCAACCTTTTCTGTGAGATTATTTATGCATTAATGTACCAGCTGTGTATGTTTATTGTTTGAGTATAGTAATTTTTGGAAATGTGTCTTAGTATAGGAACTGTGTAAATAAGCATGGTATATTCTTTCAAGTTTTGTTTTGTCAGATAAGTACTTGAATTTGAAATCAGGTACTCCGTTTCTTAACAATATTACAGTATCTGTGTTAGATTTGTAGCTGAGAATGACTTTGAATTTTTGGTTCTTCTCTGTTTACCTCTTGAGAGCTGAGATTGTAGGTATGTACTTCATCACACCTGGTTTATCTTGTGCTAGGGATCAGTCTCAGTGTTTTGTGGATGAAGCACAAGAACTCTTACTAAGTTATGTCCTTAACCTCAAATTTTGCTCTTTGAATAGTTGAATTTGTTTCACTAAATTAGCTTTTGCTTTTAGTTACATCCTTTCCAGTTTCATTGTCATTGCAGCCAAGAGAGAAAGTTACATTAAATTATCTTAAAGAAAGTTTTACACAATTCCATCCATTTCTTCTTAAAGACTTTAAACATACATTCACTGGAATTCAGTTAAAATGTGTCTGCCACATCTTCTCTGTTTAAGTTTTTCTCTTGACACTTGTACTTTCGTTTTATGTGTGACAAATATTTACTGTGTTGGCGTCCTTTTCTTTTTTCTTTTTTGAGATGGGATCTCATTGTGTTCCAGGCTGACTTTACAGAGTTGGAATTACAAACTTACATCACCTTGTCCACAAGTTCTGAAACCGAGTTCTTAATTTTTTTATTGCATTTGTTTTCTTTGTGTGTGTGTGTGCATATGCTGCACATTTGAACAGGGTGAGTGGTTGGAGTTGGTTTTCTCCATGCGTGGGTCCTGGGGATTGAGTTTAGGACTCAGGATATTTGGCTTCTCAGCAAATTCCTTAACTCTCGGAGCCATCTTCTGCCTTACTTTTAAGGCCCCATGTACGTGGTGTTCTCTAAACTTGGGAATACATTCCCCTCCTGTCAACATTTTTTGGGCTATTTTTCAGTTTTTATATTTCCAAAAAAATTGCTTTGATGTACCCCTCCCCTGTATGTTTTGAACCTTTGCTATATCCTTAAAATTAAAAAACTTAAAAAGTGTTATCCTTTAGTGGATAACATTTCACCATTGTTTTAAGTAAGTCCTTCCCTGTCTTTCTTCCTTGTTAGACTCAATCTCCACAAGGGTAAACAAGTACCTTGTCTTCTTTTCTCTGTTAACATCCTGTTATGTACACTTGGCTCATATGTGCTCTGTAAATACTAGTTGCCTCAAAGTTAAATGACTGAGATGTTTGACATAGAAAAAAACTACCTAATCTTTTAAAAGTAGACATGTGAGTTCCTATGTTTGATCCCCAGCAGCAACCAAAATTTAAAAATTTAAAGATTTTTTATTAAAATAACTGCGATCTTTACCAATATGTAAAATGTAAAACTATTGTAACACTATAATATTTTCTAGTCGAAGTAGCAAGTTGATTTCTAGGGGGGAAGAAAAAAAGGAGGAATACCATTGTATATTCATTAATATTTTTTCCTTTTATTTCTTTTTATGTACTTGGCTCATAAAACTTTTTGTATAATTGTTGGATTATCGTTTCTTCCTGCCTAAAATTTCAACCGCTTTGCTTCTCCTTTTTGCTTCTCCTTTTATTCATCTCTCACAGTATTTACTAAAATGTTAGGTACAACAACTAAACACCAACACTGAGCATGAGAGGATTTAGTAGTAGTTCCTGAGTATTTGAATCCTTTTACTTATATAAGTAAAACAAGAAAAGCTTACATGTTTTCTTGTACAAGAAATTATTTCCCTTTCTGTTCCCCATTACCTCTCTTCACGATTATTATTAGACTGATTATGGGATTGTCCTTCTAGTACTGTAATCATCGTCTGTGGCTGAAGTTGGAGTTGTTCATGATTTGATTTATCTTGTTCTGCTCCAAGTGGCGTTGTAGAAATGAAACTGTTGAAATACTTACCACGTGCTATCTGGCTTTCAAAATAGGATTTTTAAGGTGTCATTTTCTGCTGTTTATTAATAGTAACCTCAGGATAGTTTTCCTATTTTTTTAATGAATTAGATGTTCCCTTTTAAATCTTTCTAAATACAATAGAACTTGACTATCTTTGATATTCCTTTACTTCAAAAGCCCAGTAAAGTTGTGTATATGGATGTGGGAGAGCAATCCTGTGTGTGTGTGCGTGAGTGTGTGTGCGTGTGTGTGCTCTACAAAAACATGCATACACATGTGGAGGCCAGAAGTACAGTAACATTTCATAGTCTGTTGCTCTTTACCTCACTTCTTGAGACAGGAGCTCATTGAACTTTAGAAAAGCTCATTGATTCTGCTAGGCTGACTGGCCAGAAAATCTCCTGTGTATTACTGTGACTGCCTCTGAACACGGAGGCCATCATGCCTGCCTTTTATGTGGGTGCTGGATCCAAACTCGGGTCCTTATGCAAACACTTTACTCACTGAGCCAGTCTCTCAGTGAGAACTTTTATAAATAAAACCAAAATTGAGGGCCTGTTATGTTTCTCTTCTGGCTTACAAATCAGAATATGTGATATGTGAATTTTTTTCTGTAGGTTTTGTTTTTTGAGACATGGTCTCCTGATGGAGTCCTTCGCTAGCCTCACATTTGTACTCTTTCTACCTTAGTTTCCTGAACGCTAAGATTACAGATAT